TATGTCCTTGAGCTTATGGCATAGTTGGCATATTGAAGAGAGAGAGGAAAGCGCTTCTTTCAAGAAAAGGAAATTTTCAAGAAATCAATGGTGAACGGATGAGAGTTTTTTTTTTTATATTATTCTATTATTAATAACTATATAAAAGAATTTTTATAGAAATATTTTCTTGTCTTATTTTTTATCTTCTAACAGCTTTCAAAAAATTGTAATAAGTTTATTTTCTTCAAAAGATTGATACAAGATAATTATACTATTGTATATTGAAATTTATTAATTTTTAGATCTAATTGAAAACAAAATTTAATGTTTAAATTACTTAAGTTATATATATTAATAAACATATAAGTTATTAATTATTTTTTAACATATACAGTAGCAAGCACATATGCTTAATATATAATAATATATATATTATAAACTTGTAAAAAAAACTTAATATAATTAATTAAAACAAAAAAAATTTTTTTTTTAATTTATTAAAAAATTTAAAACCTTAATTTTATTTAATAAGTAAATAATTTTTTACTCTTATAAATTTTATTTAATCAGATAGATAGATAAATGTGCTATTTTTTATAAAATGTAAAATATAATTTAAAAAATTTTTTTATTCATAATTAACAAATAAAAATCTAAACAAACTTTAGAAAATAAAAGATAAACTAATACAATCTGTTTTATAAATAACGACCTCGTTAATCAATTTGCAACTTTATTGTTTTATAGAAATACTATATCTTGAAATTAATATTGAAACCAATGTCTAAAATAAAAAAAGATAACAGTATTTCTAATATAAACAAAAAGGTGGAAATAGTGATAGTAATGATGATAACATGATTTCTAAGTATGGATTTGACATGTCCTGAGAAAAGTCTAGAAGATTGTATTTTGTCCTCCCTGTTCCATATATAAACACAAAGACGCAAAACATAATTCTCGACGCGTCCAGGTGTCATGAGAAAAAGACAGTTAGCCACTGTGATAGCCAATTATATTCAACCTTTTCTCAATGGTTATTTATATAGATACCTACCATAAGATTAATGTACATTAGACTTTTGTTATGGCTCAAATTTTGGAAGAAAATAGATCCAACGCAGTTGAGAATCACGATATTAATTTTGCATTAGAGGACAAAGATAAACTAAAAGAAAAAATTCCCTTACGGATAACAATAGATGAAATTTCTGAATTATTTTCAGCCTCCACTGTGAGTGGAACGTCACGGCAAATACATTACACAAAGACTTAACAAAGATTTACCAAATCAAGACTAAATTCCTGAAAATCTTCCATACTACTAAAAAAATATTCCCACCTGCCCTAACATTATCGTTTTGAATAGGCATTAGCCATTCAACACTACTAGTATGAACCCATTCACCTGGTGACAGTTGGTACTATTAGTTAGTTGCGATAGGCTAGGATTAATTTACAGTTTTCTAAATATGTAAAGAT